GCCCTCCCGCGAGCCTCGGCGGCCGCAGGGAAATGAGAGGCGCGGGGACTAGGAGGGGGTGTGGAAATCGCTTCGGGCTCCTTGGGCCGCCATGGGGTGAGACCATTCCCTGCCCCGAGCCCCTCTGCATGGCGCTGCGCCACAAGCAGACGGCTCTGTTTCAGCAGCGGGCAATGGTCTGTGTAAAGGTAGTCGCACTGAAATCTGCTCGCCTGAGTGATCCCAGGCGAGGGCCCGACAATAGTATTGTGTTATCGCTTTGTTCCTCGGCAAGTACCTGAATTAAATGTTTGCAAGCAGGTTGTCCAGAGAAGTCTTCTCTGGTACTAAGAGAAGACAGCTTCTCCTTGCTGTCTTGTGAGAGGCAGATCATGAGTTCCTGAGTCACAGACTTCCCCAATTAAGTTTATCTTACCTCTTTATATTTACATCTGTAGTGATTAAAATGATGGCTTAATAGTTGTAACTTCTCATGATGGACTCTGTTGGGGTGAGAGGTAATACTTTCAGCAAAACAGGCTGTCTGCCTATCCATGGTCATATGCTTATTAAATTGTTAACCTGTTAGCTCCCATCAGCATCTGGAACTCTGCTGAAGTCTGTGATGGCAGAAGCAGAGGGTAGTCTGTTGTGCAACTGCAGCTGGGGGGGGGGGGGGGGGGAGCATGAATACTGAATGGTTCATGTGTGATTATAGCATAAGCCTGAAAGCCAAAGCTTCCAGGTTTCATTCGTGTTCTTGCTACTGCCCCTTCTGTTTATCTTAGGTAGGTGGTCTCATTTTCTTTCTTCCCCCATGTAGATGGTAGAAAACTGTTCTTGGAAGCTGCAGCTTAGTACTACTAGATGCTTTCAGATTCTCAGCTAAAGTAGTTAAAGAAGGATATGTAATAATCATTTGGTTATTAGGATTAAGGAGCTTGAACAGACAGAGCCTGACTAATAATAGTTTCTCTACCTACAAGCTCTTTACACAAGAGCTGCCGAGACAGTTGATTAGAGAGCTAGTAAATCATTTTATGCTAACTGGCTTCTCAGTGGGATGCAATAATAAACAATGGCTTATGCCTGGAACTTATTCTGGCATCCAGTCTAGAGCTTACTGGACCCTGCTTTGGCTGAATCAATGCTCATTAATGAGCTCAGTGGCAAAACTTTGTGGTCCCAAGACAAAACTTGGAGAAGAAGCCTAAAGACCTGCTGTATTAGTGAATTGTCTTTGACCATGTCAAACTCTTGAGGGTTAGTGTCTCTTGGGAACTTTGAGATGTTTCTAGGTTTTGACTTATCCTTTTTGCGGTCCGGAATGAGTAGGTGGCCAATCGCCACCTTTTTGACTTTTGAGTTAGTTTGCTAGGTGATTAAATGATTAATCCCTTGTGTTCTGTGTGGTTGGCATGTATCCAGGATGTCATCACCTCAGCATACCTCTGGTCTGCTGGTAGTTCTTATGGCCCTTGTTGTCAGTGTGTGGGCTGAAGAGGTGAAAGAGAAGAGCTGTGATGTGATTGGTGATGAGAGCAGCGAATCGCAAATGGAAAAAGCCCTGCTGAAGAAACTAGAACCTCTGAGCCAAATGAGGTACAGTGCAAGCATATATCAACTCACTGTAGGTCTTGGGGCTGTACATCTCCCTTAGGTCAGGGAGACTGAAAATTTTGAGGCCAGACTGTAGAGTGGACTCCCCGTGACATGAGCTGTGGCTGGCTCTCAGGGTCTTGAATGACTGCTTTCAGCCCTATTCTTTGTAATTGTATAGGCTATTTGTTCTCTGCCCTCTCTTTGCTGCAGGTTTAACAAGACTGTGGAGCTAGGCACAACAGAAAATTACACCTATCACTTCAGGGTGTGCAGGGAGGTCGACAGCTCCTTGCATGATTTTGCTGGCCTAGTACAAATTGATAGAAAGACTGGAAAGACTACAGTGGTAGGAAGAATCAATGAAACCCAGGTCTTCAATGGAAGTAAGGTTCCAGTCGATAACTTGGCTTACTCAATGTCTGCCTTTTGCCTTCTGGTCTGGATCTATAGCCCCCCCCCCCCTTTTTTTTTCCCCCCCCTTTGGTAGGTGACTGGATCATGCTAATTTATAAAGGGGGTGACTCATATGGTAGACACTGCAGTGGCGAGAAGAGAAGAGCTGTGATAATGATTTCTTGCAAGCAGGGGATTACAGCGGTAAGTGACACATGAGGTGGGAGAGGTTATGAAACAGTTGGTTAACACCAGAAAGTTGTGGAGGCAGTAAGGTTTTCTTCTGTCCTCCAATATCCATTGCATAGCTGCACCAACAATGATAGAACTGCCTTCTTGTAAAGTTCGGCATGCCTCAGCATATTTTCACATGACTTGACTTTTCCCAAATCAGAGTTCATTCAACATTATTTCGGAAGAGAGAGAAAAGGAGCAGGAGTGTTTCTACCTCTTTGAGATGGACAGCAGTGTGGCCTGCCCAGCTGAGGATTCCCACCTGAGCGTTGGCTCCATTCTGCTAATCATGTGAGTAATTGGAAGAACTGTTTGTTCCTAAGCCAAAATCTGCAATGCCATTTAGAAACAGCAAATGCTTTACTAGACCAGATAATTGTAGTACAGCTGTCTGCAGCCACTGTTAAATGCTGCTGTGTCTCTGAGCCTTTGGACAAAAGTCGTTGCTTAAAGCATGATGGTGTAGAGGTGCTCTGCCCCCTATAGACATCCTCCTTCCTAGTTTACAGACAAGCATACTGAAACATGAAAGGTATGACCTCCTAAAGTTGTACCACAGCTCTTTGCCAGAGCTGGGAATTCAGGCTAGGAGTCTTGACTCTTCGTTTTTTGTGTTTGTGCTTAGAGGCACTACTTCCTGTGATGCTGCTGAAAGATTTATACTTGCAGATCGATATTTTTGGGTACCTTTCCTGGCCTGGTCTCTGTTTATCGCTCTTTTCTTAAATTGGTACTGCAGTAAGTAACCGAACACTATTTAAGGCAGGTAGCTGGCTAGGGGGAGGTTGTCTGTAGAATTTTCTCAGCTCTGACTTTAAATTCTGTCTTCCAGTTTTGCTTCACTAATTGCATTCTACATCATCGGTGGGTTCCTCTACCAGCGCCTAGTGGTAGGAGCTAAGGGCATGGAGCAGTTTCCTCACTTTGCCTTCTGGCAGGATCTGGGCAATTTGGTGGCGGTGAGTGAGAAATCTTTGTATATTCCCAGCCTGGACCATGTGTTAGTATATGAGAGAAAAGGCAGTTGGGACTTGCCTTGTCTTCATGGACTACGTCTGGGAAATCAACCACAGAGTACCCTGAGGCAGAAGACAGCATGTATCTTATCTTGTAGAGTTCTTGCTTGTTGAATGTTAGAGTCTGGTTCCCCCCTGTGATGTTGATATCCTGTGATTACTACATGGCTAGAGCACATCTCATTAGTGGCTAACCATTCTCAGGTAGGAATGGTAAGCTGAGGACTGAAGTGTTCATGTCTGGTTCCCTGAAACCCTTCCTTGCTCACTTTAGTCTGTTGTTTATCATTCACTCTTGTCTCAGTATGATGTTGCTGCATACTGTTAATCAGTACCACAGTCTACGCTAGAGCTGACCAGCCTTCAAGACTGTGTAGCATCTATGTACACATGCTCCCCCTACCAAGACAAGTTTTTCGGATCTGTCCCAGATAGCTTGAGGATAGGCATAATCCCTTGACAAAAGAGAAGTCACAGAAGCTGCTTTGCTCTGGTGTTAATTGCATATAGTCTGATTCCAGTGTTGTAAAACCTTTGTTTGTAGGATGGCTGTGACTTTGTGTGCCGATCTAAGCCTCGAAATGCACCAGCTGCATACCGTGGTGTAGGTGATGACCAGCTAGGTGAAGAGTCAGAAGAACGGGATGACCACTTGCTGCCAATGTGATAGGCTTTCAACGCTTTTTTTTTTTTTTTCTCTCACCATCTTCCTGGTGCTTGTTTAGCCAGGCACCTCCCAGACAGTTCTCCTCTCACTTTTGATTTTCTTTAAATTACTTGCTTTCGCTGTTTCTGGTGTGTCATGTTTGTGGCATCATGAAAGCCTCTGGATATGAGCACCACTGGTCCCTGAAGGCATGTCTGAGGAATATAATGCTGTTTTAGGCTTTCAAGGAATGCAGCAGAGCTGAGGGGAAAGTGTGTTGAGAGTGGAATAGGAGGCAGCAAAAATGCATATTCAGCATTCAGTATTGAGCAGGCTTGGGAGATGAATTATTGAGAAGGGCATAGATGGGTGCAAAGAGGGGGTGGGAAAGGAGACAGTGGGTTAAAACAGCGGAGATTCTAGGAGAAGCCTTTTGTGTCTCTCCTCTAAGGCTTACTAGATCTGTAAGAACACTGGCTTTATTCTTCAAATGCATTTTCAGCTTTTCTGGCTTCTGCACTGTTATGCAAGCCATTTTCTGCAAGCATAACCTGCACCGAGTGCTCTATGCCAAACTCTTTGGGGATGGAAGAGGCATTAGCACTTCTACAGTTTTTCCTTTTCCTAGTGGTAATGTGTTGAAAAGTTGAAAATCCACCAGTTTTCTTTAAGAGATGCAGAGATGTAGACCATCAATAGGTATTGTTTCAGACTGGAAAGGGACAATGCTAGAAAACTATGGGAGTCAGAATACTGTTTCATGACTTTCTTCAGTGAAAATGACATCTTGGTCTCCTCAATCACTAGGAAGCCAAAGGAAACAGTGTGCTGCTAAGGGGGTGTGTATTGAAAGTGAAACTGAAATCAGGGCAAAATGAGGAAGTTAGAGGGAACTGCAATTCGGGTTGTTAAAAGCCTTCCTGAGGTTAACTGCCCACACAGCTCGGTCACTGTCAGAATTCTGATCATATGCTTTCTGAAGTTTCATCATCTGGTAGAGGATTTTTCTGTGAAGCTACTAGATTCCCCTTTATAAAAAGGAAATACAGAAGCCAAGGATAAGCATACTAGCACATAAAAAACTGCATAAGGGACCCCTGCGCTTACAGAGTCAGCTTGGATAAACCACTGTCCCCCTAAGCATGTTTCAGGTTAATCTTACAACAGTGGCCCAGTGCAGGTGGTACTTGCATGCTGCTACTAGCTGGGAGAATGAATTTCCCCTGGGGCCAAGGCAGGTTCAGCTGAGTTGTAAGACTTAATAGGAGCCTTCAGTTACTTGGCACCTTGATTTCTAATTGCTTTTTATGTGAGGAGGTTAGACTCTAGCAGTGGCATTCTGCCATACTGTAAACTGGCAGAGACCTGTCTACTCTCTTGAGGACAGAGACTGTGAGTAAAGTACTGCTGCTAACAGCAGGGAACAGGAAAGGTTTATGTGTTCTTATATTGCAGATGCAGTCCAAACAGTGAAACTAAGAAGAGGGTGGCCCTACCTTCTTGCTGGATTTAGAGTGGGCAAACAATTCCTGCTTTCTTTGACTTTTGTTATGGTCTCAATCTTTCTCATAACATGGGGAAAAATAGGAAGTCACTAAGTCTGCTGTTACTGTTTTTCATGGTGGTGTTTAATATAATTTGGGTTTTTTGTACAAAAAACTTTCAAAAATAAAGTGATCAAAAAACCTGATCAACTGTTGTGTTGGTTTGACAGGAGCTTTCTTTGGTGCTAGGGCAACTTTGTCATGTGGTGGAGGTGGTGCCTTGCACCTGAATTACTCTTGGCAGGAATGGATAGCCTCTTGTCAGCACATGGTCATGGCTTCTACCTTGTATTAAGCTGGTTCTCTCATGGCTTGACAAGAAGCAAATATTTCAGGACTGAAACTTAACTGCCAGAGCTTTTATGGATCAGAAGAATCTTCAGTGCTGCCTATTTTTCTGCAACAATAAAATCAAAAGTAACTTCTTGATGAAAGCTTTGGGGCTTCAATTCTTCTGGGAAGGTGATATGATAAACAGATTAATGGTCAGGACAGGTGTTCAAGAAGCAACTAGACTTTTTTAATTTTTTTATTAAGAACCTTGAACATATACAATGAACTTTAGGTAAGAGGTAAAACCTTTCCCTTTGGGTGAAGTAAACATAGTCCTTGGAAGGGGCTAGTAACTGATACGCTGCTGTTCTATCCTACCATGGGTTAAATTTAAAACTTGTTTTGTTTAGCAAGTTGCTTGTGTAAGGGCAACCTTCCTCTGATGATTGCTGTTACAGATGCTAATTTCCCTTCCCCAATGTATATTGGCTCTGGTGCTACTATCAGTGTATAAGAATGGACAGCTTCCTTTGGGCCTATTTTTAATAGACTGCAGAATCCTTCCTCCTCGGGAACGAGGATGTCATTATCAACATCATACTTAGCATTTGAATTAAGACCAAGACATTGCTTTCACACTCTATAGCCATCTGCTAAGCACTGTGCTCCCTTTCAATTGCTTTTTTTTTATGGGGGCATCAATACATAGCCCCTTCCAAAGATCTCTAATGTTTTCCTACCCATGCTATTAGGCCTCCTCATATGACTTTAAAGCCCTCCTCTAACTGTAGGCACTTCCCACACAGAAGAGACTTAGGTTTCACTGGAAAATTCATATGAAACTTAAAAAAAACAGAAGAGCTGAGACAGGGTTTAGAAGATGTGTTCTATTCAGTGCACTTACCTCTTAGTGCTTTGTGTAATTTCCTCAGCTTGTGTTTTTGTTTTGTTTTTAAAGCAGAGTTGTTTTTGGAAGAAGAGAATTCTGCTCAGGCTCATATCCTCAGCAAACTGGCTAGAAGATGTTAGAATACCATATTTGGTCCTTTTGAAAAAAAAAATGGTATGTGGGCTGGAAGGGGGGTTCATCTAACTATCACTTTCAAGGAGAAATAGCATTAAAGGATCAGAATTCAGTTGGTGGGAGGGTGGTGGTGGTGGTTGTTGTTGTTTTTAACTGGGGAAGAGAAATACTTGTTTTACAACAGTGACAACCAACAAAAAAAAAAAGAGCCTGAGGCAGGGGATGCAATCCTGCCAGCTTAAACTTTGTCCCATAAGCTCTCCTGAGGATAATGAAGACAGACACAAAAAATAACACAAACTGGTAAGAGAACACACGCAAAAAAACCCCAAACCCTAGCCCATTTTATGAAGAGCCTTAGCGCTTCTGAAGGCTGCTTTGGATTTGTATATTATGCCCTAGCACAATGGCAAGACAAACCTAGTGCCTGCGGAGTTTGCTAAGGTAAAACACCCCCCCTCCCTTTTTTTCCCCCCCATCACCTTGAACTCAGTATGAATCCTCCTCTGACTGGCTCAAAGGGGAGCATCTGGAGTGAGCAGCTGCCATAACACTTAGCCTTCAATCTGCATCTCTACAGGAAACAGTAAAGCTAAGGCAGCTCCTATTGCCCTGGGCCTTCAGGTTTGGTATGCATGCTGGAATGGCTATTAAATCCAGTTCATGAACAGCCTAGGTATTTTTAGAACAGTGAAACAGAGACAGCCCCTTTTGCTCTATTGTTTTTTCCACTTTTGTCACTTGGAATTTACTTGCTCCCCTTCCCAAATGCCTCAAGCACAGCTGCTCATGCTATTACTGCTGGGCAGGCTTCTCCTGTGCCTCATGTTCTAGCACAGCAAGATTCAAAAATAACTACATAGGATCTAATAGACCTGCTGTGGCAAAAGTGCAGGGCAGTTCCTTGTTCAGAAGTCTGTTAGGGCAGAAAGAGGTCCCCTTCCCTTCCTTATGTGGTGTATGGCAGAAGCATATTCAAAATAAGGAGGAAGGAAAGAAGTTTCAAGACCCAGGTGGGAGTTTTCATCCCCCTGGTAGCACCATAGAGAGACCAAGACAGAGGCTTGTGCATGGCAGTTCAACTCAGTTAATTTCCTTCTCACTCTTCTTTGTATGCAAGATCATGTGGGATGGTCCCATCTTTCCCCACCCAAGCAGGATTCTCCAAAGCTGGCAGCTGCACTGGGGTCAGAGCAAAAGAGAGACCTCTAGCTTCAGAGCTGTTAGGTCTCCTTGAGGACATTGATCTTGGCACAGATCTTGAGAGCTGGTCCCAGCTTGATGTTCATGGCACTCATGAGGTGTTCCTCCTTGAGGAGCAGTAGGGCCTGGCCATCAATTTCCTGTGACCGAAACTCCTCAGCAATCTCCTGGCAGCCTGTGAAGCCAAGAAAACAGCACTGAGAAACAGATGTGCTCCAGGCACTCTCCTCTTTCCCACTCTTGGGACACCTGGCAGGTAGAGAAAGCAAGCTAGGAATCTACCAACCCCTCCCCCCCTTCCCCTGCCAAGCTCTACTTGACAGGCTGCCTGAGACCACAGGCTGCTTGAGGAATTAAGGGGGTCCACCTATATAGCCCCACTGCAGGTCAGAGACTGTACAGAGTGCAATAAAAGCACCAGGAACCTCTCATTTGGACTTCCATGGCCTCACTACCAGAAAGACAGCCAACAATATTTCCCATGCTGGATCACAGGACAGCAGGAGAGAGCTTAACTTCACCTTGCAGAGATGCGATGAACTCAGACACTTCCTCTACGCTCCAACGACTGGGATTGCTGGATAGGAAGACTGGGTTGATGCCATGTAGATCTGGGGTGGGTGGGGCCATACTGGAGTTTGACAGGTCCCTCTCTCCATGACTGGCCCTTGCTGACAGGGGCCCTGGAGATGTAGGGGACAAAGCCTCATCATAGCTGGAGTTATCAGAGCCTCGACTGGAATCTTCTTGGCCCTACAGCCCCACAGGAAAGAAAGAAAAGCAAAGGTGTTTATAAGAAATTCACAGTTAAGTGCAAAATAAGACACTAGGAACAGCAGAAGTTGTCCCAACAGTCCCTGTCTCAGGCTGTTGATCCAGAAGTAGCTGACACAAGCGCTCACTGCTGCCAGAAGAGGCAGGCCTTGCTATTTCCTCCCTTCTTCTTTGCTCTTCTTTCTCTCCGCCCTCCCCCAGTCCATTCATCTTCCTCATGCCAGCCCTGGAGCTCATTAGAGCCTTTCTGTGTTCTAACTCATTAATATAGAAGAAAGATAACCAAACAGAAAAAGTGGACTGTTTTCTACCAAGGCTTTTAGGTGGTCTCACTCAGTGAGAGCTCTGTATCACATGCTGAAATTAACACAGAGCAAACAGAACAAGTACAAGTGTGAATGCACTATTTGCAGCTGATGCACAGTTGGAACAGTTCAACTGTGCCTTCTGTAATAATTGTGTTAACGTGCACTTTGCACATGCTGTATGCCTACAGATGGGTCATGCATTTCACCTCAGCTGTGAATGCATTTACAACAAGCAAAACCACATTTCTCATCATTGTCACTAAGATAGGAACAATACAGAGGCAGAGTGAGTTAGGTATGAACCAGTGTCTTGTGAAAATTTGGTCTAAGCACTTGCAAGTGTCCAGGAACTCAGTCCTTGCCTCAAAGAAGAAAACCAGGACCATCTAGCAGCTAACAGAGCTACAGCACAAATACAGGGACAGAGCACATCCATTGTAAGAAACCTGTACATCCAGCAGTGACAACTTTTAGTGTGCCCGGACAGAGGCAAACAAGACTATGTCCTTACCCTGTGGCGCTTGCCCTGGATCTTTGCTCGAGCGATTTCAGAGCTGCTGCGCCGTGGTCCCCGTCGGCGCACGCGAGCATAGTTAGCTTCCTGGAACTCCTTCATCTTCTTTCTCTGCAGCCGAAACTGATGGCTACAACTGACATTGTACCTCAAATAAGTAGAACCAGAGCAGCAGTCAGGAAACAGCAACTACTTAAACAGCATCTGCTTCTCCTTTCTCTAGATGGGGACAGAACTCTTTAGCATCAGGTTCTGTTCCTCCTTCTCCTAAGACTTCCCCTTGGAAGGGACCAGTCCAGACTACTGACAAAAGCAATATTTGGACATCAAAGTCCAAACATCTGTTTTGATCTAACATCTGAAGGGTCGATTAAGCCATTCCCCTAAGGGAAAAAAGACCCATAACATGCCCTCTATTGTCAAGAGGGGACAGCAATGACTAGTCGAACTTCTCTCCATGTTTTTCTCCATATACTCCCTTGTGTCTTTGTCTAGTACTAAAATGCAGCAGACAGCTAGCAGTATGCATTTGATTGATTGATTGATTAGTCAGCCAAAAGAGTGGTTTTTCAGAGCCCAATAAGCACTTCCCTGTTCCCATCTCATTTCCTGAATAAGTCAGAAATCCTGTTTACACTCAACATCACATCTACCTCAACCAGGTCTAAAAACATTCACAAATCATTAGGAGGTCCAACCCCAAAGGTTCTCTACAGTCAGTGTATCCCATGAAGGGTAGATCATATGTACTGAAGTACTGTACACTACCTAGAGTAGAGGCACATGCCCAGTTCTAGATAATAGGTAGTCAGAGAAAAGGAAGATGTCTTGCTATTACCTTTTAGCACAGGTCATGGAACAAAATCTCTTGGAGCCACGGAACTGGGTGGCTGGGGCATACTTCCCACAGTATTCACACTTCAGCAAGTTTGCCTTTTTATCAAGCTCTAGTGAGATACAGAAATGAACATCACTTGATGGTTTGAATTCAAGCAAACCACACGTCATTTACCATTCCACTACTGTTGCTCAGAGCAGACTGACTCCAAACCCTATTCTCTATTCAATATACTAAGCAGTGAGCTTGGGGAAGAATCTGACAGAGGGGAGGCAGAAGCCCCCTAATTAGGGCCCTACGATGTTGCACAGTGCGGTGTATTTCTCCTTTCATTAACCTTTTGTTGAGCAAGTAAGAACTAGCATATCCCCCATATCCTACAGGGCTGTGGGGAGATCTCCATCACTGCACCTCAGCTGTGTCCACACATCTTTGACAGCCTTCAAAAAGTCATTAGAGACAGGAATATTTCAGAATCTCCCACTTGCTACTGACATAGGGTGTATTAGATCATATTTAAGAAAAAAAAATAAAGTATTATCTTCTAGCACTCAAGAAAAGGAGATCCTATGTCTGTAGCCCGAGTCTGAGTCTCTGAAGAGTTAGCAGAAGGATAAGAAGGAATACAAGCTCATAATATAGGAAGTAGATAAGGAAGTATCAGAGAATAAAACTTTCAGTAACATTTGCTAGCTCTCCTGGTGTTGAAACTCACCCATAGAAGTGCTGTCCCTTCCTGGGGAATTACTGGACAGGTTTTCACTCTGCCCAGAGGGAGCCCCTCCCTGCAGTGGTTTCTCAGATTCTTTCAATAGCTGAGAACAACCAACCTGGACAGGAAGAGAAAAAGTTCTGCCCATCAGTAAAGGTATTTGCATGCCCACCACCCTGTGTGAGGTATATGCCACTTGCACCTTGTTAGAGCTCAAAAGAATCCCTCTGCCCACTAGAAGAGGAGGGCTGCTGAATAAAGTTATTACTCCTTCCTGACCAACAGGCTTGGCAGTACTGGTTGATCTTTGATATCTGCCTTGAATATCCTGCAGTTCCATGTAACTATATTTCCCCTTACTTGTTCTAACTTCACTTGCTGCTTGTTCAACATTTTCCTCCATTAAAAACAGGAGAGAAGAACCTTCTTACAATTCCTGCATAAATTATTGTTTTGAGGACTACTGGGGAAAACATTCCCATCACTTGCTTTGCTCCCTCTAACTCACTTTCTTTCATCACACCACTTAATGCCTTGCTTCATGAATGAAACCTTCCTCCTTTCCTTTCCTCTTTTCATTGCCTGTGTCTCGAGGGAAAAAGCAGACTTGGAGCATGGGGAAAGAAACTCCTGTCCAAAGAAGGTAGACCACCACCCTCCCAAAAGAGAGATACATCTCCTTCCCCACAGCAGTGGACACTTACCGGAAATGGCTCTGCTCCTTCCTGGATGACAAAGCCCTCTATGATATGTGTGAGGATCTGGGGCTTGACGATGGCTTGTGGGGGTTTGGAGTCTCCCGTCTGACGTGACACCATTGCCACGTTTGGGGTGGAAGCCGAAGTGGGTGTGACTGATGTTGCTTCATTTGAGGTGGGATTTGGGGTTGCACTGGCAGCAGGATCAGATTTATCTGGAACGTTAAGAGCATAGGAGTCACTGTAACCATTGCTCTCTCTACTCCTAATGTTCCCTTTGCAATATGAAATTAGATCATTAGCCAACAAAATACATAGCTTTCCTTTGCACCTCACCTCCAAGGCCACTTTTCTCCTCCATGTTTTTGGGGCTGTCTGTCACAGGAGAGGACCTAGCAGGCAAGACTGCATTGACACTGGGTGATTCCTCCTTCTCCTCCTCTGACTCTGCCTTGCGCTTCACCGCTAAGGTCTGAGACTTGCCCTGTGTGAAGAAAGAGGAACACATAAGCAGAAAGAGGACCTCCCCAAATCACAGTACACCATAGACTGAAGGCAACAAGAGGATATGCCTGCTCCATCTTCCTTTGTCTTCTGCCTGGCTCCTTCCTCTGACAGCTCAAGCTCCCTCAACAGTACACTCCTCTGCTTAAGAAATTTGCCTACTGGGAAACAAAGCTTAGGACATTTACCAGGACAGCACTGTGACTAGGATACGGTGTCCCAATTCATCTTGATACACTGATATAACATCAAGACACTAGCACTGTCCCAGTCTCAAGGGATTACTCCAGGGAGAAGGAAGTGGAATGGCAGTTACCCACTAGCTTCCAAACAGGCCTTTAGCAAAATCATTCCTTCTACAAAGGAAGAGAGTTAGAACAGTAAGGGAAACATGCTGGACAAGAGCAGAGTTGTCCCCCAGTTCTCAAAAAATCAGGGAGCCATCACAGTATTTGCCTGAAAGGAGGAGCCAGAGTTTAGGAACAAACTGGTGCACTCTGCCCTTGACTACACAGGTGAAACTCCAAGAAAATGAATGGTCTGAGGAGCCTGCTAAGGATATCTGGGCTGGCAAGGTGTTGTGGTCACAGGGAGTTAGGCAGGCTCTAGCTGGACAATTCAGAGCAGCATGAAAGAAGCCTGTGCAGCATAAGCCATCTTCATTTACTTCTGCATAGCCTGCTGCTAGGGAAAACTTAGAAGCCTAGAGCCAGCCCAAACTCTGGCCAATACCACATACCAAGGGGTCTCTGATCTGGTGGTATCCACACCTAGCAGGGAGAGAAGAGTTCAGTCTTCATGGCCCACTCAGCCTTGGTCTCTCTCCTGAGAGAGACAACAAGGAGGCCAATTATTGTTAATTGTGACAGTGTGTGATGAGGACATATACTCCCATTCGAGGCAGGACTGAGTCTCACCAACACATTTCATGCAAGCCTTTGAATGATCATGTGAAAGAGAACTGCTTGCAGTCAGTAACCCCTAGGGTTGGATTGGAATTAATGTATTTGAAAGGAAAAATCTCCATATTCCTTTCCCCAAACCCTTTATGCATCCCACCTCACTGACCCAGGGCTGCACTGCAATTGGTCTCCTAGGAATGAACAAATAGAACCCATTTGCTATTCTCCTCAGTGATGTTACTTACTGGCAACTGGACAGACTGCATGTAGAATGCTGCTGGCATCTGAGCCACAACTGGAGAGGAGGCTGTGCTCTTCACCATGTGGGCTGTGCCTTGAACTTGTGCCAAATTTACCCCTGTGGTGAGGGGAGGAGCTTCCTGTGAGGATGCTGGAGCAGATGATGGAGAAGCAATATGGGCTTGGGAAACAGGCTGGACCACAGCTGGCATTCCCCGGGAGGTGGGCACTGCTGCAGCAATCTGAGCCAAACCCAGTGCCTGAGCTTGGCCTGAGCCCTGCTGCCGTGTACCCACCACCTGCACTGGGATGTGTGGTGGAGGCTGCTGTGCTGCTGACATTTTGGCAGGCCCAAGCTGAGGTGGTTTGATGGGGGTGACCAGAGATTTTGACTGAATTGGAACAGGTGACTTGGTGGCTGGCTGGCAAGGGCTGTCCTGCTGGAGCTGAACAGGCTGCGGCTGGGACTGCAACATAGGTTGCACCACAAGGGTCTGAGCTTGCTGCTGGTTTTGAGAAGAAGCTTGCTGCTGGGGGGGTTGACCTTGCTGCTGCTGTTGAGTCAGAGATGGCGCTTGCTGCTGTTGCTGTTGCTGAGCCAGTTGGAGATGGGTGGCTGTGTGGAGGAGCTGGGACTGGCGGTGTTGGAACTGCTGCTGGTGATGAATGGCAATCTGCTGCTGGATCACTACCTGCTTCTGCAGGTGGATCTGCTGCTGCTGCTGTATCAGCGAGTGGGGCTGGATCTGTGTATATGTGGCTACAAACACAGGGAGGGAAAAGAGGATAGTATAGAAGATTAGTGGCAGGACAGCTGGGAACAAAAAGAAGCAGGGATAGGAAATGGACTTTTTAACCCCTCAATGCAGGTTCAAATTGTTAAGCTCCGAAATGACTGACAACTTACTGGTAGAGGAGACTGGGGACTGAATGGGCTGAGATCAAATTATCTCATTCACAGAGAAGGATAATTCCTAGAGAATAGCACTCTGGAACACTGAGGCTGGGAGGCATGTCAGGAAACCTCTCACCGCTGGGCTTTCAAAAGAGACTCTCTTGCGAAGGCCCAATGAGCTCAAAGAGGAGGAGCAGGTCTCCACTTACCTGAGCTGATCAATGTCTGGCTGGGTGCTGGTGTAGCTGTCCTGGTCAGGTTCATGCCCACCGTTTGCTGTCCACCACTGTCCGCTTCGCCTTTCTTTGTGGTTGCATTCTCTGTTTCTGTTTGGCTTCCCTGGCTGACAGTCACTGCCTGAGCAGCTGCTATTGGTAACGGCTGAACCACCCCTGTGCCTTTCCTTTGGCAACTGCCAGCAGGGCCTGCTGAGGATGCCTGGCTCAATCCTGTTGAGGTCTGGCTCCCACTACTTGCCACCACACCCCCAGAGATACCATTGCTGCCTGTGGCCCCCTGGCTCAAGTTGAGGGACTGGCCTGGACTGCTAGAAGCCGCCTGAGCCACTGCCAATGTTTGGCCTGTATTTGTGGCCTGTGGTAGGCCCGAAGGCTGGGAGTTTCCTGGAAGAGCTGCCTTCTGAGCAGAGCCTTGGAGCTGGGCATTAGCGGCTGAGGTCTGCTGGCTCCTCACAGCCAAGTTCTGCACCTAGAAACACACATACAAAACAGAGTCCATTTGCTTTATGTATGTTACTTCCTGGGAGCTTAACAAAAGCAGAGAACACAGACGCAATACGCGCTACTGGGATGCAGGCTAAGCTGATGCTTAAAGTCTCACACAGGGAGCTGGCTAATATTGCAGGGCAAAGCTCAGGTGCAGCCCTCCCCAGAAGACTTATTAACCTAAACTCCCTTCTGTCCATCTCTGATGGAAGTTAAAGATCTCGTGGCACTTTCTGAACAGAATTTGAGGATAACACTATTCCCTCCATACAGTAAATTCTAACATCAGAAACTAAAAGGCATGGGACAGCCTTCAGACCTGCCTGCCTTGCTCCTGCATCGGTAGGATCCATTTTAGCATGGCTCAGAAAGCACTGAGATTCCCCTTTAAGTTCAGCAATTCCTTTTTAATTTTTGTGCCACCTGCCTCCTCTCTCTGTGCAGGGCTTGCCACTCAGGAGGCCCACATCTCTTCTCATGGCATGCAGCCCTTCTGATTTCTCCAGTTTCTCTCTGCATTTCTCTCTGCATTTACTCCCCCTCCAAATGCAGTGTTATCTTCAAGTTTGATCGTGGCTGACTTTGCTTCAAAGAAAGTGCTCCAGGCGAGGCAAATATGAAGTAACTGCAGCAGGGGCAGAAAGGAGCAGTTCAAGTTGTTCAAAAATTCCTCTGGAAATCCCTAGAATGACTGGGAAGGAACCAGAAAATGGAAAGCCATGGCAGCTGCTTGACCTGGAGAAATATTTACAGATGAATGCAGGAGCTAAGACCTTGTGGTCTATTCAGTCTTCGGCATCTTTACAACAGCAAACCAACTAGGTCAAGGAATACCACCAATGGCAGAGACTCTTCATTGCAGAGTGCCTGTCCCACTGAAAACTGGACACAGAACCCACAATTCTTTCCACAAAAGGACAACCAAGAAATTGTGAAGATAGGACTGATCCAGCCTGTGGTTCACCCAAGGAATTTTAAGCAGAAATGAATCCTGTCTCTGAAGGCAAAAAGCAAACATAGAAACACAGTGGCAAGAGAGAACAGACCCTCCTGCATGCAGCAGTTATAGGGATACAGGATGGGGATAAAATAGAACTAATCCCCTACACAGGGAGAACTGGAGACAGAGACCAGAGTGTGGAGCGACTGAGTGCGGGATGGAGGGGAGGACCCTGGGAGGGGGTATCACTGACCTGGTCTGTGTCTGCATGGACCCCAGGAGACTGAGTGGGTGGTACCTCCTGCTGGACAGCAGCCACGGCCCCATTAGGCATCAGGATGAGTTGGGAGGCAAGAGGGACATTGCGGCCCAAGGTCCGGTTTACCTGCAACAGGTTCCCCAGCTGCGGCTGTTGGGGGAGGGTCAGGTGATGTGGAATGAAAGGAACAGAGGGGAGGAGAGAAAGAAAGACAGCGAACCACAAGCAAACAGATTACAAAGCAACACTAGGCTGCAATGTCACACACTGCAAAAAATCCCAACCCTCCTGGCACTGTAATGTTGAGTACAACCTGCAGGAACAGGAAACTGGAAACAATTTCCTTATGGAAATGAGTGATCTTCTATTAAACGTGGGCATGAGCTGACTCCCACAGACTGCCCAGGGCTGGCTAGAAGGCTTGGGTATAGTTTTCAGATGTATATCTAGGCCTGGCTGAGAAGCAGGGATACAAGACATATGCCCAAGACAGGGGATGTTTGAAAAGAAGGGGACTACAGTCTGTACCTAAAGCCAGCTAAAGTCAACTGAGCAGCAGAAAATATTTTTCAGGTAGGTGACCAAACTCCAGATTAAATTTGACAATAATCAATGTTTTGTATATAGCAGCACCTAAAACTGATTCAAGGGATGAGATATTTGTTCACATCAATCTGTGCACCCAGACTTGCTTGAATCCTGACTTATGTGCCTGAGCTCAGCAGTAGTCGAGGAAAGTAATTTACCAGACATATATATGTTCTAACATTGAATGAGAAGACTAGATTTATTTTTGTGAGCTGTACTCAAGTCTAGGATATATTTTTCACATTGATACTCTAGTGAGAAGTGCCATGGGATCTTTAACAACTATGCAGAGCAGACACAAATGTGATTCTTAAGACTCTCATCTGGCTATCCCTAAACCACACAATATAAAGCTCATCTATCCTCAAAAGCTGAGCCCAGAGTCAAACCTGTGGTTTCAGGGACAAAAGATTCTCCATTTGCATTTAAAATAAATCATACGATCCCTGAAGCTGGAGTTAGTCCAGAGGTAAGAATCTATGCTGGTAGTCCCTCACAGCAAAACACTGGAGTGGCTGGGAAACGGGGTTCATGATCAGGACACGCTTTGTGTATACATCTCTTACCCGGAGATACATCTGGGCTTGTGACTGGTTGAGAGGCGGTGAGGTGGTATTCCCAAGGAGCACAGACTGCGTCAGGGTTGTGGCACTGGGGGAACTCACACTCTGTGAGCGACTGATCAGTTGCGCAGCCGATGTGGTGGCTAGGTTGATCTTAAAACAGAGAAAAGCCCCAAATCACATAGGAAACAATGGGGGCAAAGAAGCGAGTACAAATTATCGCATTGGGGCGCAGTCAGAATAGGCATTTTATAGCTTTTCCCTGTATCCTGCAGTCAGGGCAAGAAGAAACAAACTCTTGTCTTAAGGGTCTATGCAATCTAAACTTCTGGCTAGAAGACTAGTACACTTAGACTTGTACACTGAACCTGAGTATCACTGTTAACATGCAACTTTGCAGAGATCCAAAAGAACTACATTTCTCTCTCCAGCCTCTCACTTAAAGACAAAAAAATACTAATCTACCCTACCAACTCTTCTATTATTTAAATAAATCCCAGTTCCTCAATACTCAGGACAAACCCAGACCTCCTCTCACTCAATAAGTCACTTTTCCTCTACCGAAGAAATAAAAGTACAATCCCTTTCAAGCTGATCATAACTCCTTCTCCTTCTCAGAAGTCTTGATCCTCTCCTAATCCATGATAATGCATCCTCAAAGCCTCAGCAAAAAGAGATCAGTTTCTACCTTTCCAGCTAAGAGGCCTCTCCCACTCAGAAACCTTCTCTTGGCTCCTCAACCCCCACCAATAATGACAGCACCCCAAATCCTCAAAGTTGTCTGTATCTTGTGGATTCCCAGCATCCTTATCAGCTGTGATTTCTTGGCTGATTTCCTTCCTAAAAGACAAAGAGGAGAAAGAACAAGCGGGGCAAGGCTTTAGTATGTTTGGGGAAGCGATTACTTACAGAAGCCTGGGTAGTGGTGGTCTGTTGTGGGGTACTGGTGCTGGGGGAGCTGGCCTGTCTACTGGCTGCTATTGTAGCCTGCAAAAGAGATTGGCAGAGAAATGAGCACCTGGAATGAACCTTTAAATCCAATCCAAATATTTGACTTGGCCAGAACACCTCGTCCCATCATCACTACCCTCTCCCATTCCTGAGAACTGTAACACAATGTAATGACTACAAATCTCTGCTATGCCCCACAAAACAGGTGTAGCAACTCAGCAAGGTACCTCCTCTTCCCCAGCCAGTTCAGTCCTGTACATCGCCTCAGGTAGTGGACAACAGACACTTAGAGTGTGCGATCTCCAGTCTTCCACCCAGGGGTATATATTCTACCACTGCCCCAGCTTGTCACGCTACAAACTACAACCCTCATCCTGCTGCTCCAACCCACTCTGGTAAAACCCAGTTAAGCCCCACATTAACACTATGTTGGGCACGTCATGCCAGTTAGTAACAGGTGTGCAATGATAGTACTCAAGGTAACAAATTTCTGATTACAGCAGGTACGGTTGGTGAAAGAGGGTAAATAATGTTAGATAATTTTTTCTGCCCTATAGGATCCCACAGCAGGTGCCCTGCAAGGGGTAGTGAGTTCAGTTGGTCTATAACTAAGATTTCTGTGAAACTAGCAAGAGGATTCTGTTCCCCCTAAACTATAAAGCTGCAGGTAGAGATTTGAGAACTACCTTCAAGGGAGGTGATCCTCCCCCTCTCCTCAGCCCTGGGGAGGCCGCATCTGGGTTACTGTGTCCAGTTCCGGGCTCTCCAGTACAAGAGAGACATGGAGCTACTGGCTGCTGGAGAGAGTCCAACAAAGGGCTATGAAGATGATTAAGGGACTGGAGCATCTCTCCTATGAGGAAAGGCTGGGAGAGCTGCGCCTGTTCAGTCTGGAGAAGAGAAGACTGAGGGGGATCTCATCAATGTGTACAAGTATCTGAAGGGGGAGTGTCAAGAGGATGAGGCCAGACTCTTCTCCGTGGTGCCCAGTGACAGGACAAGAGGCAACAGGCATAAACTGAACCATAGGAAGTTCTCTCTGAACCTGAGGAAAAATTTCTTTCCTGTGAAGGTGACTGAGCCCTGGAAGAGGTTGCCCAGAGAGGTTGTGGAGTCTCCTTCCCTGGAGATATTCAAAACACGTCTGGACACAATCCTGGGCAATGTGCTGTAGAGGACCCTGCTTGAGCAGGGAGGTTGGACTAGATGATCTCCAGAGGTCCCTTCCAACCTCAACCATTCTGTGACTCTGATTCCTGGATTGATATCCAAAGACTGCAACTACTGAGGGAGATGTTACACAGAGAGCGCACTATTGTCACATCACACAAAATTCATCTTCAACTGAGGATAAAGTCTGACAGGTGAACAAAGTTGCTAAAGAAAATAATTGCCTGACAATTAGGCTTCATACATCACTTTGATTTATACAAACAGAACTCAATTAAAGAAACACCCTCCTTGCTGGACAAGGTCTTCCCCAAATCCATCTTGCTAGTAGCTGATAAAAGAAAACATGGGATACTAAGTGTAAAGACATAAAAAATTGAGAGGACGCCATGTGATATTTCATGCGCCCAAGACCACGTGCATTCTCAGAGAAACAACAATGCATGCTTCCTTTTAAGATGAAGTTTGAGTTTTAAAATGCTACTGTATCCACTACTGATGTAATCATCCATTTTTTATTAAAGGAGGTACAGGGGCTGATCATATGGTAATCATATGCTTCCAAAAAGTAGATTCCCTTATGGGGAACCCAGATTTTATCTTGTCCTGCTCTGTATCTGAAAGTCAAATGGATCTTTCCATCTAGCTTCCTGTTTCTTAGTTGTTTGCATTACCTTTAAATACATGTTTAGGGACTAGAGGTCTAATTGTGAATCAGGACCTCATCATACAAGTCACTGCATAAACAGAGAATGAAAATCTTCCCCAGAGAATGATCTAATTTCTTTCCTTCTGCCCCTTGGCAACTCACCTGCTGGACAGCAGCCAAGCTGTGAAGTTGGGCACTGTTAAGCTGCTGCTGGAGCATAAACTGATGGAAGTACTGGGCTGCATTGGGCTGTCTCTGGAGTGCCTGAAGGGCCTGGAGAAAGAGGAAAATCCAATTGTCAAAGATATTGTGCCCTTGAAACATGACTAGAAAGAGAAACCAGGATCTAAATAACAGCCACGAGACATCCCTGGTCCCAAAGAAAAAAGTCAAGCCGCCAGATTAGAGCATCAAAATAAGTAGTACAACTACAAATTCAGTTACAGACTGAATCACAGGTGTATTCCAGGACAGCAGAAACACTTGTAAGACTTTAATAAGCTCTTGGAACTTGGGGATGTGCATAGTCGAGTAGGCAGTCAGACCCATGTTCCTATACCGTACAGATGTTCCAGAGGAACTGGGATGATAAAGTGAACAACTTGTTATAGGACAGCAGGCTAAGATCAATCTATTAGATCACAGGACTGATTAAATTTAAGAGACTGGACACTGGAAGAGTCACCTATAAAACATGAAGTAGAGTATCAGGCTATATAGAGTAAAAATCTGGCCTAGCACAAGAATTCCTAAATCTGAAAACATGACAGTCCTCTAAGCACACGCCTACCTTGATACATGTCAGGTCAGAGCAATAAAGAAGGGCTCATGGCCACCTTCCACGGACAAACATCCTGTCCTAGAACATAAAAGTGCCTTACCTGTACCGCCTGTCGCTCATACAGAGACATCTGTGATATCTGAGGACGGGTGCTTCCTCCGGAACTGGAGCTCCCACTGGTGGAACTGGAGTTCTGCTCACTTTCAGTCTCCATGGTGACAGGATCCTGGGAGCTCAGACTGAGATTGACTCCAGACCTAAATCAAGAGAATCGGAAAATAAGTCATGCTTGAGAAAAAAACTAAACTGTATTTCATTGCATTGTACAGCTTTTTCACTTGAGTATCTCAGTACTAAGCCTCTTACACCACTTTGCCACATCATAGGGGGCTGGGGATGCCGTGGGTCTGAAATCACCCAGAAGTTATACTCGTAGTTTAAAAGTTTTATTACCATAGTCAAAAATATAATGTACACGTTCTCACATTTTTATTGCCATGCTGCAGTGGAAGCTACAGCTATCCTGAATTCTTAAAAAGGCAGGAAAGTTAAGTACCAGCTTCAGCTCGCTCAGACAATCATTTGGTTTACAGATTTGATCACCTCTACTTCAAGGCTAGTGAATTAAGGCAAATGACACTGTGCGTGTGGACTTGTGTGTACACAAGTCTCCCATTTCACTTTCCCAACTTACGATCCCCCTTTTCTCTAGTCCCAGAAGAAGTAAAATTATCCCACAACTCCACTGTCGTGCTGCAAATTTACCAACTCAGTCCCTCCTTCTCACAGTTTAGCCGCCAACTCCTGATTATTCTTTCTTTCTCTGATCACATGCACTTCTGGCTAGTCATTGTTCCTGACAGCTCATAACTCAAGTATTGGACTGGAACCTGATATCTGTGGTGGCAAGTTGCTTTAAGGGGGAATGGAATGAGAAGCAGAGTGAATAAAGGGATCACTAGCAATAAATGTGAGGAGAAAATTTCTGAAAAGGTCACGCAGGGCCAGAGACATCTTCTAGCAGCAGAAAGATGGGTCATGGTGAACTACATCAATGAGTAAAGATTGGAGAAGGCTTTCATCAGCCAAGAGGAAGAGAAGCAAGACTGCAAAGAACGTTCAGCAGAAAAGTAACACATGGGGACGAGCAGGGAGTTTCCCCCACCAAGAAATATGGGCTATATAGGGAATAACAGCAGGAGAGATTAGAGCCAGAAAGGGGCAAGGGCAAAAGTGATTAGATTTACTCAATGGAATTCCATTGAAAAACAGATTTCCTAGAAGCAAACCATCTCATGTAAGATTTAAAAATATCTTCCGATGGTCTGGATAACACTAGCAGCTTGTTTGTTTCCAACACCACCAGCTGGTTCCTCTGCAGCCTATCTGATACAACTCTAAATGAGACCCCCTGCACTTCCGAGATCTCACAGCACCAGCATAGACGCTGTATCTAGATCTTTTCAAATACAGAAATTATGGGCTTCACAGCTTCACTGAGGCTTCACTCTTCTTTACACTACTTTTTCCAGGAGACTAAACAAACAGATCAGCACAACAGCAGAGGAGGTACAGTAACATTCTCTCCCAGACACATAAGTTCTTCAATTCTGGAATGGTGTTAAGGGCAGCAGGTGACTAACTAAAGTAGGACAGTAGCGTTAACACTGCTGAGGAAGGCTCACTAAATCAGAGAACTGCTGCTTCAAATTTATTCCTCAAAACCTGGACAAAAAAAAAAAATCTATTATCAATAAGCACATAGCTGCTGTTCCAGGTTCTGGCTTCCCTTTGTGTCTTTACCCCTGCCTCTAAGTCCTGCCCAGGGATCTCCCTGCAATTCTAACACTACCTCCCTGTACTGCTTCAGCAGTACCATCAGTAATTTTGCCCTGCAATCATCTTTTCTTCAACTGTGAGACACAATCTCCTAATTGGCCACTGTCTTCATGAACAACTCTATTACAGCTAGAAACAGTTGGTCAATAAGCCTACCTAGCACATAAAAGCTCTGAGAGGCCAATCACCTTAAAGATTTTCCCAGGGGGCATCACCACAAGTAAACGAAGCCTGAAAGTAAATTAATTGAGTAATTGCGAAGGGAGAGAATACAAACTGTTGCAAAGGAAGAAACTGGAGTAAATACATGAAGTACACTGAACGGGGTTAAAAAGTGAGACAGAGTCAAGCTACACACATTGCAGTCAAGTTATCTAATAGCTCCACTACCATTAGAAGGGAAAGATTCCTGTTCTCTTGCCCACCCTCAACCTCCCTTTGCAGGTTCTTCCTCACTTACCTTGCTTCTGGTACTCACTAGATCCCTCCATCAGTTGATTCAACTTGCTAACTTGGCAGAAAAACTAACCTAAACAAAGGACATCATTTTCCATCAGGTCAGTGATCTGAATCAGCTCACTTGTGATCCCACAAGTGCAAGTGAGAGAAAAAGGAAGGAAGGAGAAAGCAGCAGGCAAGGAAACTAAGTAAGCTGTTAGATCCACTTAGTTGTGGCATGTAACCTTACCCTCAACAGCTGCACTACGAAGAGAAACCTGGCTTCTGACATGGTGCTCTGCTCGCTAACATCTGTTTCCTCAGTGTGCAACAGTATCGACGCTCAAGATTTCCAGCATTTTTTGAGAGTTCCACATTGATCTACATTTTCTTAAAATCAGGCCCTATCACAAACAGAACCCTAGTGAAACACTGGTACCTCTGGGGTGGGAGACCAAAAAATGGTCTCCATGTAGGCAAAAGGCCTTTGGGGACACTGCTAAAGCGGCATACTGTCCTTTCGAGAAGGATGATAAGAATTTTAACAGTCACTCATAACATGCAAGGTTATCCAACAAAATTCTTTCCAAACACAAAAATCAAGAGGCATGGTACTTCACCAAGCAGTTCCATGTTAGGGTAATCTGATCCAAACACAGGCTACTCCCATATGAGATAGCCCCGATTTCATCCTCTCCCCTCACACACTACCCTTCTCCAAGCACATCTTCCAGCGCCCTCCTCTTACATCAGTCTACAGATCATTGGGCTGCCAAACTACTTGATTCAGCAGGCTGCTTCATAAGAAGATAGATAATCCATCAAAAACAACAAAATGATTGTTTTTCCCAATGAACAGAGTTGACCAACCCACTTTGCAAACATAATCAGTAAGATACCAAGCAAAAAACTGAGGTAAAATACATGGCTATTTTGGGAATTAACCTTCAAAGAGGAGCTAAATTGGATTAAGCCTAAAACAGAACTGCACCCTAAGAGACTGACATGTAAGAATACAAAGGCCTATTAATACCATGACAGGGATGACAGCACAGCAGAAATGAAAAAAAAGGGAGAAAACTAGTTTAAGGAGCATTACAAGGACAAGAACATGGGCTCCGTCTACAGCCTAACTTGCATTGCTCATTTCAACACTTAACAAGAATACAGGCAGCCTGTCTACAACTTCCTGACCTTCTCAAGTGCAACAGCAGAAAATTCAGGCCAGCCATCTACACTAGCCACAGAACATTATGCAGGAGGTAAAAAAAGTCTTATTTGCTCACCCCATCCATTCCTCCTTGCACAGGACTGCTGCCTGCAGAATACTTTCTAAACTTGCAGCTGATTTTGTAGCTTTATCCTTGGGAAATCAAGTCAGTGAACAAGTAAGATTTGCACAGGATGGCCCACAAGATTCAGAGGGAAAAATTAGCTACCAAGGCTATAGTACACCCATCTCTCCTCGCTCTGTTACCATAGTTTCCTATGGCATACTATCCAAACTATCGATGCAGAGAAGTGAAACTGCAGAGACAGACACATTTGCCTTCCGATGCTTTGGAAACAATCAGCGGGATCCTACAGCACTGCATAAGCTGCACATGGGAACACGACCACCTATTATACACTTGTGTCTGCTCTGCACACCCGTGTTTCTAAGGCAAATGCCTACCAGATGCCTCATAAACAAAGCAGGGCACAAGTTCTCGAGAGGCACACGGAGCAACCCCAGCTCCGACGTTGCTCGCAACTCCGAGAGCAAACTTGACCGAGTGCTGACTCCATCCAACAGAGGGTGTGCGCGTCCGTGCGCGCTCTGCGCGCAGACACTTCACTACAACACGTATATACAATGCAACACGGCCCCACTGCAGATGGAGGTGGGGAAACCGCCGCAGGATGCCAGCGATGAAGGGGGGCAGGGAACGAAAGAAACATAAATTTTTAAAGCAAAGTTAGCGGCGCGAAGGAACAAGAGGCTCCGGAGTTACTTGGACGGACGCAGCGGGGCTGAGAGGTGGAGTTGTTCCGTTCGCTGCTCCCGATGCCCAGCGCAGCCCGACGCGGGGCAGAGCAGACAATGGCTGCTCCACAGGCGCTGTCAACTTGCAGCCCGCCCTGACCCCGCGAAACTCTCCTCGCCCCGGCCGCCCG